CCCAAAATGATTGGAATATCCCGATTTTCTTCCATATCCCGTACAATGAAATCCGCGAGGTAAATGAACTTGTTCACTTTCACCAAGACATCTTCTATAATCCCTCTTGGATGCTTTATTGAGCGGTCAACTAGCTGCAATGATATTGTGGTTGTTTTGACCTCTCCAATTCCTAATTTCTTGTACAAAGATAATGGCATTAACATCGCATAAAGCATGCTCAAAATATTTATCTCCTATGATACAAGGTATAGTAAAACTCCCTGGATCTTTGAGCTTAGGGGGCAATTTATTGTGTAGAAGTGTACTGCACTCAGTTAGCATCATGATCTCATAATCCTCCAGCTTCCTCTTGTTAGTGAGAATTTCCTTCATGAATTATGCGTAGCTGCGCGTTTGTGCTAAAGCATTCGCGAATAGAATGTTGATGTACAGTTTTTTAAACACTTCAATGAACTTAGAGAACTGTTTGTCTAATTTGTGTTTATGCAATCGCTGAGGAAATGGAATGGGAGGTACATATTCTTTGATAGGAACGGCCGCCTTAGCCTGTGGTATGTCTAAATTCTCTTTCAAATTTTTTTCAGTTGACTCTTCAGATCTTTCCACTTGTTCCTCATCTGAAGTAGGCATTTTATTTGTCTCTGCTACTGTTTTTTTACTATGATATCAGGTAGTTGTGTCCTACTTCTTGTTGTAATTGCTTGCACATGTCCCTTTGGGTTAATTTTTGTGTTACTAGATAGGGCTCCTTGTGGTCGATAGTGCAGGCCAACTGACCTATTTGAGTTTCCAACCCCTTTATGGCTGCTGAATGATGTTGTAAAGTTGTTTCGGTCTTTGCCATATACTGGTCGGTCTTCTGTATAAATTTACCCAATATATCTTCCAAAGATGAATTTTTCTCTTGCTGTTGAAAACCAGGGAGAGGCTGCTGATGATTATTTTGGTTGTTGCTCCAGGAGAAGTTATGGTGACTACGCCAACCTGGGTTGTATGTAGTGCTGAATGCATTATTTTGTTGGCGTTGATAATTTTGTACATAGTTAACTTCCTCCACCTCTTGAGATGACATATGACACTTCCTACTATTATGAGCTCCACCGCATATACCATAAACCAAATATTTTGTTTGCACTGCTTTTGCTGAATTTCTCGTAGTCGAATAATCTATCATCTTCTTCTCCAAAGTTGACTTCTGTGCTGATAATGCCGAGAAAGCATCCACCTCATGTAAATATGTGTGCCTCTTATGTGTGGATCTTTCGAAAGGCCATAAGGCATTGTTGGTTGCCATCGTCTCATATAATTCATCAATTTCATTGGGTGACTTTAACGTGATAGATCTATTTGAAGTTGCATCCATCGATATACGACATGCTGGGTTTAAGCCAGTGTAAAAGTACTGAATTTGCAAATTTTTCTTAATATCGTGGTTAGGACACTCCTGTTCAAGTCATTAAACATTTCCATGCTTCGTGAAAATTTTCTAATTCATCCTACTGAAAAGTGGATATCCCTGTATCTTATTTTAGTTATTTTTTACAATGGAAAGTATTTTTTGACAAATTTTGTACGAGATCATTCCAAGTCCTAATGCTTCCAGCAGGTAGGGCATCTAGCCATTTTTCAATTTTGTACGAGATCATTCCAATTTATTCAAACATTTTTCATAGTGTCACGATCGAATTAACATATTGTATTTAATGATCTCTCTTAAGCAACAGCAATCCTATTCATATGCCCGAACTTACTATATATGTGTGTGTGTGTGAATTCACACACATATGAATGCATTTATTTATAGAAATTCAACAAAGATCGCATAACTTATAATTATCTCTCTATAGAAATTCAACAAAGCTCGCATAACTTATAATTATCTTTCGATCTCGTATAATACCTATGTTAATTATTGTACGAGTTAAAATTATAATCACCTCTCGATCTCAGTATTATCCTTAAATCAATTAATTGTTACGCAAACAATTAATAGTATTAAACACACAATAATTAATTAACAAGTATTAAAATAGCATGAACATCTTGAAATTAAACATATAATAAAAACCTTAAACTACATTATCAATCATAACAATAAAAGTATTTAGTCACCCATAATATTAAATTTAAACACGTAAAAGTGGAAAGACATCACCAAAAATTGACGAAACGTGAGAATTTATGGTGATTGTCTTTCTTCTTCCTTTTTTTTTTCTTTTCTTTTTTCCTTCTTTTCTTTTCTTTCTTTTCTCTTTTCTTTCTCTCCGCGTTGACTTTTTCCCTTCTTTTTCTTCCTTTCTTTCTTTTCTTTCTTTTCTCAGTTTTCGTGCGTGAACAGCCACTGTCTCCTCTTTTTCTTATGTAACCTTTTCTTTTATTTTTTCTCTTTGTGCGTGAATAGCCGCCGTCTCCTATAATTTCTGCCCTTGTATCATATATATTGCAGTAAAAAAAGCCCAAGTTGAAGCCCGGTAAATTCCAATACCAAATTAAATTAATTCTTCTTTTAAAGTCCCCAATTCTTTTATGTAGCGCAAGTTGATCCTTAAAACAGTTTTTATTTGTGCAGTACATGCCAATTTAGTTCACCCTTTGAATTTTGCCAATTTTCTGCTATTTTGCATTCTTTTTTTCAATTCTTCATTAAACATAAAGTTTTACCTACAAAATACAATTTAACATAAATTAGGTAAAATTTTATTCAAAAGACAATAAAATATCGTGATTTAATGCCACGAATAAATATAAAAACTACACTTATCATGAATCATGGGCGACCTTTTCATAGTGTTTCGTATCTTTGAAGTGGTCAATATAGTGCTTGACCACAGCCTTCGTATAAGCTTTAGACTAGTGCTTTTCCACCTCTTGTGACCCGAATTTCTATTGGAAGATCAATTTGGAGTTGACAGTATACTTCGAAAAAGTCTTGAAGAAGTCAAAGACGTATTTGGTAATTTTTATCTCTTATTTCAACTCAAATTGAGAGATCCAGGTGGATCTAGATTAATAGACAAAGACTCGCAGATTAAGATATCCAATAGAGAGTCTTGTGAGATTCAGTCTAACATATTATATAACTCCTTATTGTTGAAATAATGAATTCTAACCTCTGCACGTAGGTTTTTTGGTCTTTGATTTTCGCATAAATCTTGTATTCTTGTGATTGTTATTTTCATATTACCTATATCTCGTTTTTAATATTCATAACAATTGGCTCAATTTCTAGCATTAACTTTCTCCTTGGCATTCATCTCGACTTTGGCCTTCAAATCAAAATTTTATTTCTTCCATGTATTGGCCTCAACCTTAAGCTACCCCTTGACTTTGTTGGCCTCCTTCAAGGCTTTGCTAGTAATACTCTGAAGGGTGTTATGGTGGTCGAGCTGATTCGTCATGGAATTGACTTGACTCTTCGTCTCCTCTAACTGAGCCTTCATCCTATTATGTTCAGTCTCAGCTCATCAAGCAATCTCTTTTTAAGTAGATTTTGAGAATTAGAAACTTTAACTCTATAATATCGAGTACCAGAAAATTACAAATAGAAAATAAATAGACAATAAAACGTAAGATTTATAGATATTCAACTCTTCTAGTCGTCCAATATAATAATTCACTATGATGAAAGAAATTTATAAGAAAAAAAGCACAAAATATCATCTCTAACCACTCTTTTTTTTTTTTTTTTTTAATAATAATACAAAATCCTAATGGCAACTCCTTATTTATAAAACAAATTATGATAAAATTGAAATTACAAGTATGAAATTCTTAAATTATCCTTAATGATACTGTGATTTGAGGGCTTCATGTCCACTTCCAACTCCACAACAACTTTACCGCTAAGGTCAATTTATGTACTAGCTCCGCACAATGATAATAATTATGCTTTATAACCTAACAAAGAATTGATTAATGTAGTAATTGATGGAAGACACCATGGTCGGTATATTCACTCCTCTACAATATTTTAAAAGAACACATTGTGTTTATATTCGTTGTGGGCACAACATGGATCCTCGATCATCTTCTTCAACCTTTCATTTTTGTAGCACTTGAATTTCCATTAACATATTCAATTTTATTTTAATGTTATCGATGATGTGTCAACGACAGATGACTACAATCGAAAAGAAAAACAGAACTACAATCCACAACCCCCACTTACTCTGATGAGTTTCGCCACCTCACTACCACCCATGTTTTTGTCGTCCTGATAATATTCTTCGCTCTTTTAATTCACCATTCTTCCACAAACATGATTGCTCAAGAAATAGAACACCTACATCTCCTTGGCTTTAACAATAGCAAGACTATTTTTAGAAGATCAATGCTATAAAAATTGTAAGCTTGAGAGAGCTAAATGCTATGGAAAAATAATGGATTGAGGACATAGGGATAGAGAATATATATACCAATTGAATAATGCTAAGTGTAAATCATGTGGTTGACATCTTTGTGTACACTCCATTGAAGTTCAAAAAGTGTTGGGCAGTAAAGTGTTTTTTTTTTCAAAACCGTCCAATCATGTGTCGCCACATGACATAATGTCAAAAATATGTACATGTAGCATGATCGATACCAATTTCCCTTTCATGCCTAGCAACATTTCTACCTACCATGTAATGCTACATGCCTAAAAAGTAAAAGGCACTTGAAGCACTGTTAAGTGTCCTAAAATTATGTGTCGCCTGTCATCCCATTACTTGATAATTAGTCAATTAAAAAGTAAAAAAGGCACTTGAAGCACTGTTAAGTGTCCTAAAATTATGTGTCGACAGTCTTCCAATTACATGATAATTAGTCAATGCTAAAATTATTACACTTCAAATAAATTAAGGCTAGTATCTCCACGTAGCTTCAACCACCGCACTAAACACTAAAACAATTCCTCAAATTTCTACCTTTCACATTTACACCATGGCCCTATAAATCTTTGTATAACTCGAATGTCTTAAGTAACTAGTAAAGAAAGCAGTCCATCTCAAGTTTCTAGCAAAAAATATGGCATCCCAGCTGAAGGTAACAGTTCCCTTTGTTAGTTTCTTCCTTTTGTATTTGGTGGCGTGGGCAAATGCGGCTGGAGAATGTGGTCGCACGCCGATAAATTCAGCGGCCACCAGCCTGAGCCCGTGCCTTGGTGCAGCTTCTAATGTTAGGGCAAAAGTTACTCCGGCTTGTTGCACCAAAGTTAATGCATTGATAAAGAGTGCTCCGAGGTGCCTTTGTGCTGTCCTCCTATCGCCTCTTGCGAAAAATGCTGGTATTAAACCCGCAATAGCCATCACTATTCCGAAGAGATGCAACATCAGGAGTCGACCTGCTGGAAAGAAATGTGGTCGTAAGTATCCAATCTTATTTAGTCTAACGTGTTAAATATCTACTCAAATGTGTAATAATGAAATCTTTTCAGCTATATCTAGTTTATGAGTGATTGTCGGAATAACTACTTGTACTTTATGCATTGCAGGTTATACCGTCCCATGAATTTGAGGATCGAATGGACTTGGGAGATGATACTTATAATAACGGGTTTCTATGTAGGAGGGTCAAACGCTGGTTTTGTGACCCCAAATTAAATAAAATACATTTCCATGTTTTGCATTGTAACCATGTTTTATGAATGTATTTGATAATATTGAAATAAATATGTTGTGTTTTTTTTTTTCCAATGATGATGCGGAAATTATGTTATACGATTTACGTCAGAACTTTTTTATCTTAGGCCCTGTCGGGCGTGCTGAAATAAGGGAGGAAATCAATTTTTAAAACGTTACAGTCCGCAATTGTTGACCGGCTCTCAGACGAGTGGGACCCACCCATTTCCTCCAACGGTGATATTGTTGATTTTAATCTTGGGAGAAGTGGAACCAGACATGCACTCAGTTAACCGTTATAAATATCCCTTTGGATGCTATTTCTAATTCTTCAATTTATCAATCCCAAAGCTTCAAAATTGTTTGTGTTCATGTTAACATTTAACAATGCCACCTAGAATTTTTGTTGATATTTTTAGGTTAAGTGATCGTTAGTGTAACAATTAGAAGTTAAACTAACAATTAGTATAAGAAAAATGAATAATGATATTTAGCCCCACTGATATTATAATTCTAGTCTGTATGGTTTTAGGTGATAGACTAAATAAAATGTAAAATTAAATTACTCATTTAACTGTCACATTAGAGCTACATGGATATGAGTGATAACCCCGTTTAGGATCTATTTAAGTTGCAAAGCCTTTCAATGAAAGGGACATTATGATGCATTTATAATACTCAAAACACAATAAGCACTTCAAAAGCTATTGATTGATTAGAAAAATCGAATAATTAGATGAATTAATAAAGTCTTAAACTTTTATTCATAAACAACCTACTAAATAAAAAACAACTAATTAAATAATAATAATAATAATAATAATAATAATAATAATAATAATAATAATAATAACCAGAGATAGGTTAAAATTCACAGAAATCACTATTTTCATAAATTGTCAATGTTTACGACCTTTACATAAAAAAATTCGAACACAGCTACTGGGGGCAATGGGCCAAGCCGGTTGTCTACCCATGAGCTTGACGAGCCGAGCTCGAGCTCGGCTAGGCCCACGAGCTCGTAACTTCACCTGTCGAGCCGAGCCGAGCCGAGCCCATGAGTTTTTTGAAAAAAATTTAATTTTCTTTTACTTTTTTTTTCACATTTTTTACTAGCCAACAAGCTGAGCAAGGGCGAACCCCTGACTCAGCTCGGACTTGTGAAACGGGCCCGAGCCGTCCATGGGCCAAGCTTTGTCGAGCCGACAAGTTACTCGACCCTTTTGTCACCCCTAAACACATCCAAATACATGAAAATCCAGTTTTTAAACAAACGTGCCCCACGTAAAATGATGGTAGACAAGGTTTGTCGACAATCATGATTTGACATCACTACATTCATTCATTTCAAAAATTGTCTTCTAAATCAACTGTCCAGATTTTGTCACATTAAATATTGTCAACAAATCTTGTCAATCATTATTGTACAAGTAGATTAATTCATTTTTATATCTTCTAGACTCACAAATTTTTCAAACAAGACTAGATTAATTAAAAAATTCATAAAGTAAAAATCACGTTGTCGATCCAAAGTTAGAAAATTGCAGTAAAAACAAAATCAGACGTATTTTATACTGAATTACAGCTTATAAATAGGAGAATATGATTGTAAAACTCCGTACACGACAATCTTTAATTCCTTTTTTCTCCACGAAGACAATTCAGTGGCAAATCTAACCTAATTTGTGGATCTCGATTTCAAGGTCCGAGCAATCTAGAATTAAGTTCTGAAGTTAGTCACAGAAGTATTCTTTACCAACCTATTGGTAAAAAATGTTTAATGGGCCGAGCAACGGTTATTTCAGTGGTAATCGAGATCGAGTTATAGGCATACTTCTTCTGAGCCCAATTACAAGTCACTGGACTGTCCAGTTATTTATCAAGGCTTCAGATGTAGGCGCCCCAGTCGGTAGAGCCCAAATTAAGGGTGTCAATAGATCGAGATGAGTACAAGTCAGCTGTTTAAAAAAATTGGCTCGACTCGTCCTACCAACTCGACTTTTGACATGGCGAGCCGAGCTAATTGCTGGCCACTTTATTTTTTTTATTTTCTAAATTGAAATGAAAATTTATTATTTTTATTTCGTAATTCGTAACTGATGCTACCAAAAATCGTACCTGGCGGTTTTCGATCCCGGCGACTATTGATGAGCACGAACGTAGTCCTCCCGTACCTGAAACAAAGGCGGTGAGGTATGACCTCGTCGCCCCTCCGATGCTTAAGTCAGACAGGGGATTTATGCGTAAAGTTATATGCTGAAATAATGTGGAACGTACCTCAATATCGAATTGGGAGCCCGTATTTATAAGGCTAGGCGGTAGAGTCCTAGTAGGACTGTGTGGTTTATTCCTGGTTGTGCGGAAGTTGAGTTAACTTCCCTATGTAGAAGAGTCCTGCATGGATTAGTATTTTAGGATAGAATCCTTAGTTAGGTAGGACTCCTTATCCTTGTTGATCTCGACCCCTTAGAGGCAGAGGGCCATAAACGTCGTGGGGTGATAACAGAAGACCCCGAGGATACCGGGGAGACCGAGGAATGCTTGCCCCTCGATGACTGGATACCCCGAGGACTTCCATCGTCCTCCTTGGAAAAGTGACTGGGCCAAGTCCTCGGTACCTCGAGGACTCCATATGCCCCAACAGTAAAGGGGGGTGACACAAGCCCTCGAGGAAACTTAGGCCAGGAGTCCTCTAGAATATCCTCGACCATGAACGGCCTCGGTCATGCCAAAATCTCTCATATCACTGGCCCCCGTGCACGCGCTCCAAGTCCTCGAGGATTTTTGAGGGGGTGCATCGCAATCCTCGCGAATAAGGATGGTCGATATGACCGTTGGCGATCGATCGTTGGATCAGCGACACGTGTCAGCTTGAACGGTCGTAGATGGTGACCCTTGGCCTTCCAACTTCACTCACTATATGTCATGCCAAAATCTCTCATATCAGTAACCATATTTTCAATTTTGCCGTTTTTTAGTTACCCAATTGATCAACCAATATATTAACACTAGACTGTATCATTGACTAAAAATATTGAACATGACAATTACATTCAAAAGCTTCACCCAAATGAAAGCCAAAAATCAATGGTTGTAGATGCCAAATACAATACTTTTGTACCACGCAATGACAAAAAGAAATGCTAAATATTTTATTCATTAGATTATACTCTTGTAAGTAGTGTTTCAAAAAGCGTAATGCGACAATGCATAGAGGTCATATTTCGGTCAAGGTGTGGTCTAAGTGTAAAAAATGTTTTTTTAATATTATTTTCAATTTTTAATCAATCTAAAAATTATTTAATAATTAAAATAATATCTACCAAATATTTAAAATAAATTTAGCCCATGTTTGTCTACCATTTTTACGAACATTGTTTTCTACAATAAATAATCTCAATCACATATTCACTCAATAAATTATTCCACACACAAATTAATAAAGTTATTTTAAATTTCAACCACACATTCTTCAAAAAATTACTATTCCTTACTCCATTTTTCTACCAATAATGGTAGACAAACAGACTCTTAGAGGAACTTTATAGTTTATACATTTTTCAAAGTTTTCAATAAATAGATAAATTTCAAAATTATAATTACATAATGTACATAGCATAGAAGTTTAAATGTTATCTAATTTTTTATCGAACTCCAATTCAATATTCTCTTCTTTATTTAATTCGTTTTCTGTATTATCTGATACAAAATAAGCTTTTTAAGAATTTTAATAAATAAAATGTGTGTGTGTGTGTGTCAGTGTGTGTTTTTAACAATGAGCACCTTAAGTGGTCAATGTTTCGTAGTTCATAATCCAATAAACTTGGTCTCGGGAAGGAAAGTGGTCCATAAATAAAAACAACTAAAATTTCTGCTAGAAATAAAGTATTCAGTCACATTACACCGAATTAGATTTATCGAGTCCAATGAATCCAGTAAAATCACATCATCGCTTGCCAACTAACGATCAGTTCTAACCTATGAGAAATAGGGAAAAATTGTGAGTATATGTGAATATTCAGTATGACACGAATATTGTGCAATTTCAAATAGAAATATCAATTCACATATCAAAATAGTCATACCCCTCATATCATATCTTTAGAATCTGGTAAAAGCTCATAACATATCATATCATTTTTACCGAATATCTATTATTATATATCATAGTATATCAATTCGTTAGCATAACATTTATTAACATGAAACAATAAAATCAAACGAGACAAACCACTTGCACCTCGTTATCCTACCTTAAACCTTTGAAAATCTTGATTTTGTTAAATCCAAATTATAATTGGCAATTTTCTTATTCAAAATCATATCATAATTGAATTATATTAAGAATTTTTCAAGTTGCAATCAAAGTCAAAATATGAGTTATTGAGTCCTAATTATAGCAAAATAGTTGGAATTGGTAGTATAGGTCTTGAAGGAGTCGAAGATGTTCAGGAAAATCACATCTGGTCATTGAAATGCAATTATAAGTCTAAAGAGTGTCAAAGAGTCGCATAAGTTATGGTCCAAATTGGCAGTCACAATTTACAACGCATTTTTCACATGGAAAACATTGAAATTTGGACAATACTACTTCCATAAGAATGATAACACATTGAGTTAGTTTTTCGACATACTATGAATCACCTTAATCGGATATTGAGAAAAAAAGTTATGATAAAAATAATGACTACTGCTTAGTTGCCGTTTGCTTGGAGCTCGAGTGACTTGGTTATTCGAGAAACAATAATATTCGATTTTCAAGTTGATTTTGAATTCCTTTTCATCTCAAACACTACAAATTATAAATATACACCATTTGAGACGTTCAAAAATGTGTTGAATCATCTTTTCCATATAGATAGTTCCTTGAAGATCTAAATCATCATTCAT